ACTTCAACGCCTGCACAAGAATCAGAAACAACACAGGCAGCAGGGACTTCAACGCCTGCACAAGAATCCGAAACAACACAGGCAGCAGGGACTTCAACGCCTGCACAAGAATCCGAAACAACACAGGCAGCAGGGACTTCAACGCCTGCACAAGAATCAGAAACAACACAGGCAGCAGGGACTTCTACACCTGCACAAGAATCAGAAACAACACAGGCAGCAGGGACTTCAACGCCTGCACAAGAATCAGAAACAACACAGGCACCAGGGACTTCTACACCTTCACAAGAATCAGAAACAACACAGGCACCAGGGACTTCAACGCCAGCACAAGAATCAGAAACAACACAGGCAGCAGGGACTTCAACGCCTGCACAAGAATCAGAAACAACACAGGCACCAGGGACAACAACGCCTGCACAAGAATCCGAAACAACACAGGCAGCAGGGACTTCTACACCTGCACAAGAATCAGAAACAACACAGGCACCAGGGACTTCTACACCTGCACAAGAATCAGAAACAACACAGGCAGCAGGGACTTCTACACCTGCACAAGAATCCGAAACAACACAGGCAGCAGGGACTTCAACGCCTGCACAAGAATCCGAAACAACACAGGCACCAGGGACTTCAACGCCTGCACAAGAATCAGAAACAACACAGGCAGCAGGGACTTCAACGCCTGCACAAGAATCCGAAACAACACAGGCAGCAGGGACTTCAACGCCTGCACAAGAATCCGAAACAACACAGGCAGCAGGGACTTCAACGCCTGCACAAGAATCAGAAACAACACAGGCAGCAGGGACTTCAACACCTGCACAAGAATCAGAAACAACACAGGCAGCAGGGACTTCTACACCTGCACAAGAATCAGAAACAACACAGGCAGCAGGGACTTCAACGCCTGCACAAGAATCAGAAACAACACAGGCAGCAGGACTTCAACGCCTGCACAAGAATCAGAAACAACACAGGCACCAGGGACTTCAACGCCTGCACAAGAATCAGAAACAACACAGGCAGCAGGGACTTCTACACCTGCACAAGAATCCGAAACAACACAGGCACCAGGGACTTCTACACCTGCACAAGAATCAGAAACAACACAGGCACCAGGGACGTCAACACCTGCACAAGAATCAGAAACAACACAGGCACCAGGGACTTCTACACCTGCACAAGAATCAGAAACAACACAGGCACCAGGGACGTCAACACCTGCACAAGAATCAGAAACAACACAGGCACCAGGACTTCAACACCTGCACAAGAATCCGAAACAACACAGGCACAGGGACTTCACACCTGCACAAGAATCGAAACAACACAGGCAGCAGGGACTTCAACGCCCGCACAAGAATCAGAACAACACAGGCAGCAGGGACTTCAACGCCCGCACAAGAATCTGAAACAACACAGGCAGCAGGGACTTCAACGCCCGCACAAGAATCAGAAACAACACAGGCAGCAGGGACTTCAACGCCCGCACAAGAATCTGAAACAACACAGGCAGCAGGGACTTCAACGCCCGCACAAGAATCAGAAACAACACAGGCAGCAGGGACTTCAACGCCGCACAAGAATCAGAAACAACACAGGCAGCAGGACTTCAACGCCTGCACAAGAATCGAAACAACACAGGCAGCAGGGACTTCAACGCCGCACAAGAATCGAAACAACACAGGCAGCAGGGACTTACACCGCACAAGAATCAGAAACAACACAGGCAGCAGGGACTTCAACACCGCACAAGAATCGAAACAACACAGGCAGCAGGGACTTCAACGCCCGCACAAGAATCAGAAACAACACAGGCAGCAGGGACTTCAACGCCGCACAAGAATCAGAAACAACACAGGCAGCAGGGACTTCAACGCCCGCACAAGAATCGAAACAACACAGGCAGCAGGGACTTCAACGCCCGCACAAGAATCAAACAACACAGGCAGCAGGGACTTCAACGCCCGCACAAGAATCAGAAACAACACAGGCAGCAGGGACTTCAACGCCGCACAAGAATCAGAACAACACAGGCAGCAGGGACTTCAACGCCCGCACAAGAATCAGAAACAACACAGGCAGCAGGGACTTCAACGCCCGCACAAGAATCAGAAACAACACAGGCAGCAGGGACTTCAACGCCCGCACAAGAATCAGAAACAACACAGGCAGCAGGGACTTCAACGCCCGCACAAGAATCTGAAACAACACAGGCAGCAGGGACTTCAACGCCCGCACAAGAATCCGAAACAACACAGGCAGCAGGGACTTCAACGCCCGCACAAGAATCAGAAACAACACAGGCAGCAGGGACTTCAACACCTGCACAAGAATCAGAAACAACACAGGCACCAGGGACTTCAACACCTGCACAAGAATCAGAAACAACACAGGCAGCAGGGACTTCAACGCCTGCACAAGAATCAGAAACAACACAGGCAGCAGGGACTTCAACGCCCGCACAAGAATCAGAAACAACACAGGCAGCAGGGACTTCAACGCCCGCACAAGAATCAGAAACAACACAGGCAGCAGGGACTTCAACACCCGCACAAGAATCAGAAACAACACAGGCAGCAGGGACTTCAACACCCGCACAAGAATCTGAAACAACACAGGCAGCAGGGACTTCAACGCCCGCACAAGAATCTGAAACAACACAGGCAGCAGGGACTTCAACACCCGCACAAGAATCCGAAACAACACAGGCAGCAGGGACTTCAACGCCCGCACAAGAATCAGAAACAACACAGGCACCAGGGACTTCTGATGTCCCAAGACAACAAAACCTAAAGCATATTTTATAAATCCACCAGCCACTTTGCCTGCAGAAGTACCGGGGTTGCATCCTCCTGTGCTGCCAAACCTTCCTCCTAAAATAGAACACAAGCTACAACCACCATGGAGAAGGCGTAACTGTCATAGAGGGTAAATCGAAGGCAGTAGAAATTGATCACCAATGTAAATTTTACTTCCTTTGAATTCTGTGAAAATTGGGAATGGTGTTCTGCCATGAAATCTGGAATAAAGTGTAAGAAAATAAGGAGTATTTTTTGTTGTTTTTATTTACCAACCTTCAAATACTGAAATACTTAAGTAACAATAGTGGATATATCAAGATTAAGTCTTTTAAAGAAGTAGAAGGTGTTTAAGGTGATTAATGAACTAAAACTAAGGACTGCAAAAGGATATAATAATACATTAAATCGAAATGCAGCTTTTTATCTGTTGGTCTAGCTTTTAAGAATTGCATTGAAATCAGGATACTTTGCTGATATTCAATAAGAAAGTTAATTTAAAAAGTGTCAGTTTAAATGCGATCACCAGCTTCAACATTAGGCCTGCACCTAAGTTCATAGTTGTATTAAAATTACAAAATGTGTTTCTTAAATTGGTAAAACTGTATATAAATGTAATTTGATAGTTCTTGTACACCTCTTCATGCAGACAATATTTTCGTTTCGTGAAAGATAACATTTCTTAAACATTCATCAGGACTACTTTCTCTAATGCGCTCGTGTTTTGGAGTTTCATTAATAACATTGAAGCTGCTGAAGGGAAGGCGTTGACAAATTATTTACCAGAGCCTCTACAACATGTGACTCGGCCAAACCTCCACTTCGGCGGTTGTTTGCTGATGTCAAAAAAAAGAAAGGGAAAACCCCGACTTCCTCCTTGTATCGGCTCAAAACTCAAACAGGAGCCGCTCGTCTCCTCAGTCATCAGCTGTGAGCTCTACAGGATCGTTATAACCAGAGAGGAAAGAAGAGACAGCTCAGCGAGGAGGCGTTTGTGAAGGTAAGTTTATCTCACTTGATGTGTTAAATTGAAGTTCAGATAAGACTCCCTTTTTGTTTTACTTTTACGCAGTCGCGTATTTAGCCAGCGTAAGACAGCTTCTCCTGTGTTTTATGTTAAAAACATTTACTTTTGCTTTAGTTTTAATCACTTAAACGGTCATAAAGAGTAATTAATGTGTCGTTACAATGATTTTCCGTCTAAGTTATCACGTTGAATTTCTGTCACATTGACGATAGCTAATTTTACAGAGGATTTATTAGGATACTTGATCACCCGATTATGAAAATTAGCAATAAATTCACTTCAAAATGTCTTATTTTAAGCTTCATAGTTTTAAAGAAATAATATTCTACAGTGTAGAAATACAATCTTTTAAATACAAGTAAGTGGTGTAGAAGTAGTCCAGTAAAAGTACTTATTCTAAGGAATGAAGCCAGTTTTTATACAATAAGATTATGTTTTAGTTAATGTATTAATAGGCCTATGTACAATATTTTGATTACCTGACCTCCTGTAATTGCCACTGTACCACATTTCCAAATTACAGGGCAATTTACATTAGTATAAGGCCTATAATAGTACGTTTTATCTGAAACTTCGATATAACATCATAGTTTCTTTCTCGATCATATTGTTTTATTATTAACCGAAATCTGCAAAGTAACTAAAGTTATCAAACAACTGTAGCGGAGTAAAAGGGATGTTTTTTGAGTTTAAATTACAGTTCATTGCAGCCAAAGAAAATCGTTGTTTTATTCTGATTTAGGACAAAATAAAAGGTCTGTCAGATAGAAACGAATAGAAAAATGAAGTTGTACATGACAGGGAAGTATGTTTGAGCTAAATATTTAGCAATGGGACTGCTTTGATTACTGCTCAGGTCATTATCATTACAGCTTTTAACTATGTTGTCAAACAAATCAAACGTTCAAGATAACAAAAACTTTAAAAAAAAGGTAAATATTTATTTTAAGGTGGTTGAAATAACTTGTTCTACCCGACAAATAGTCATAATCACTAAGTTGTTAATTTCACTCAAAGAAAAGCAAAATAAATCTAATTTGAGAAGCAAACCTGGGCATTTTTTAAACTATTAATTGGTTATTATTTTGTCTTGTAGGATAAAAACATGTCAGACCTGAAGTTTTGTTTGAACTTAAAGAAAATGATTGGGCTACAAGGGGCAAGAATAGATGAATACTGAACTTACTCCCTTCTCATGCGTACACCCCTGGAGTAAAAAGATGTACCTCTATTTACTTCACAGACTCTGACACCTCTGCATGGATTTTCCCGTCACTCATTACAGCTCAAAACTCCTACAGTCTGTCTTTTGAGCATATGTATTCCGGCGAATCCGACCCCTCCTCTGACCCCAAGTTCCTGGAGACCCAGCTGGTCTTCTTTCACAAGCTCGGGTACTCCACGACTCAGGTCCGGGAAGTTCAGCAAAAGTTTGGCCCCAGTCTGGACAGGGACAAGGTCCTGGGTGAGCTGGTTAGGATCGGGGCCACTCAGAAGGCGAAGCAGGGGCCGGTGACCACCGTATCGGTACTGGTGCCCAAAGGGGACATGACGACTTGGGGCCCCACGATGCAGCTTCCTGTTGCTGCAACATCTCCTCCGAAAGAAGAGAGTGGCGAGGATGAAGACGCTCTCAGACCAGTGGTTATAGACGGGAGCAATGTGGCCATGAGGTGAGTAAGCAGAACGGATTGAAAAGGAGAACCAACTACCAAAGGGCATAATATCTGAAAAAATAGTAAGCTAAATACAAGCACAGGAAATTGAATTTATAAGAACAATATTTACATCTATACATGATTTACTAATGAATGAGTAATGATGTCTTTTATTCTGGCTCAAATACATCATCATACAAATGGGAGGATTTTCTTAATTTCTCAGTTATTACATCATTAAGGTGATTAGTAAATCATCAAAATATTCTCATTATATTATCATATCAATCTGCAAGTCTTTGAAATTATAGTTTGAATAATTGATCAAGAAAAAATTGAAGTTCAGACAAATTCAAACACTTCTCTTTGGGTGTGAACTTGTAACTATTTTCCAACTATCTTTCAACAAAGCCATGAATCGGTTAATTACGAAAATAATATAAAAATGAATATAGTCACTGATTTAAACCCTTTTATCCTAAGAAACTGAAAAATATAGTTTTTTGGGTGGTCAACTTTTAATGATTGCGTTAGGATTACATCTCTGTGGTATTTCTTTCAAGTTAATTTATGAGGTTTTATGAACTAAACTTTTGATCCTTTCATGAAATAAAAAAAACAGCTGGCTAATGATAAAAGCTATCTTGGTTCAGCCCACTTGGGAGTGCTTATGGCCGGGGGACATTTTGAGTATAGTGTCAAGGGAAGCCTCTCATCACTTTGTTTGATTAGGAAAATCACTTTAAGTGTTTGCTGGTAGTCATTTGCATTTTAGAGTCATAATTATTATCATAATCCCTCCCTCAGCAGCTTCATCGGCCACCAATACTTTGACCATAAATAGGATTTTAAGGTCACACTCTTTCCAATCAGTAATGAAAATAATAACTTATACTTAGTTGTACACTGACTCACTGGCTCAAACGTCCCGAGTGAAAAGAACATCCTAACAAACATGACCAGTCCTCAGATAACTCACATCACCTTATCTCACCTGTTGAATCACTCAAAGTTTGTTTGGCATTGGGCTGATATTTATTTTAAAGATGTGTAGCTTCAAGCTGCACTGACTGGTCCTGGTTACTTTTTGCAGCAAACAAAGATATGGCTTGCATGCTAAAGCAAGTATATGTTTACCATGTACACTGTTAAGCATGTTAGCATGCTTAATTTTAAGGATTATATTTGAAGAAGCAGTGAACAAAGTACAGCTCAGGCTACAGGAAGATACAGTTGTTTGATGTATTTGATCTCAACACTAAACTTGACTAAATACCTAGGCAATCGTTCAAACAGTTGTGGAGACGTTTCAAGTATTTTGGCTTTGAACTCAAAGATTACAGGTTAGCCTCTGAGATGACAAATCATTGTGACAAACTCATCAGGAATTGCAGTGCGAGTTGTCTCTGTGTTTTGTGTTGAAATCACCCGAGTGATTGTTCAGGCTTGATGCCGCTTTACTCAGAGGACAATAAAGGCGTCACCCAACTGTTGTCTTTTACGTAGGCTGCAGAAAACACTCAGCATCTGCACTCTCAGTCAGGTTCATGTGAGTGAACTAAAACCTGAAGCGAGAACTTGACAGCTTTTCAGCATCGCTCAGACTGATTTATTAACAACAATTTTAGGAGATCTGCCTCCGGCTACACTCAACCTTTTCCCTCGTTCACTTTCTCACACCCAGACAAGCACACACAGTTTGAAGCACAGATAAATGGGTGAGGGAGTGAGATAGCCAAAGAGTACAGTGTGTAAACTTAGAGTATACACACCTCTCTGTCCTCTTGCCTTTCCCCTATCCAGACACGCCCGCTTGGGCACGTTGCAGACGAGCAGCTTGAGTATGCAAATCAGGGCACGTACGTGTACGGATGCCTTGTTTCCTTGAACTCAATGCTGCTTTCAGAGAAACACCAAATTTCAACAGGAACAGGCCTGACAGCATTCCACAGCCCGGCTCTCTTATTAACTTTCGATTTTCCTTGTTTTCTCATTCGTCCTGACTTTAAACTTTGAAAAATCAAAATGCCCCCAAACGCTCTGAAAACTGGAGTCATATTTAAACTTATTTTAGCACAAAAAAAACCCCAGAAAATGTGTGTTACTGCACACACTTTCAAGCAATAATTAGATATTCTTCATTCTTCATGATAAATAGGGCCTCTCTGTTATTGTGAAATGTTGGATAAAATTATTCCTTAGGCCTGTGAAAAAAATGTAAAAGGGAAACATCCTTCTTTGTCGAGACATCTTGAACAGGGCAGAGAAAATTTGACACACAGTCAGGGAAAGATAATTTATTAGACGCGTATAATTTATTAAAACTCCCTGTAAAACCAAAATTGTTGTTTTTAACAGATTAATTTCACCACAAATTAAAAACAAATAGATAACATTTTCAGGAATGATTAAATAGCCCAAACTTAATGTGGTGTTAGTTTTTTAATCAATCTTTCCTGCTTTTCATTCGTTGTTTAGCCATGGGAACAAGGACGTTTTCTCTTGCCTGGGAATCCAGCTGACGGTGAACTTCTTCCTGGAAAGAGGCCACACTGAAATCACTGTGTTTGTTCCCTCGTGGAGAAAGAGCAGCCCAGACCAGATGTTCCAATCACAGGTAGTAAAGACAAGAACTCAAACTCTTATTTAGCTCTTTCTATTTCCTGATTGTCCTTGAACTGTGGATCACACAACGGTCCCCGCAGTGGATCACATGACATAGTGGAATTTCATTAAAACCTTTGTTTTGTTGTTGTATAGATATTAGAGCTGAAAGTATTTATTGAGTGACTCAGTGATGTAGAGACATTTTTTTTTATTTTTTTTCCAAGCAAATGAACAGGACATGGTTTGATCTGATGCAACTGCTGATTCACTGACTTGTGTGCTCGAATGGGAAATACCCCATGGAGATTTTTCTAACCAAATGCTCCAGTAAATTAAGCTGTATCTGCGATCTCTGCAAGTATCACTTGAAAAATAAAGGCGCAAGGTTTTTCTGATGGTTTGTGATTACTGAAGATAAACAGTTACTCTCAGTACTTTTTTTTGTTGTTGGTGGCCTACTTTTGAAGGTGGTTTCTGACTGCACAAAATGTGTTTGCATCATGTAGATTGATAGATTACTCATGCTGATAAATAGTTTTTTTGCAAGATGTACTTTTAGGGCCCCTGGTTGATAATTATCTATGTTCAAATCTGTCTTCTGGGAAATACCTAAATTAAAATGCAACTGGCTTCCTGGAATATGCTTTAATTTAATTTGAGGTATCGTTACTTAGAGTGGTGATGATCTAGATCTTTACAACCATTTATCATGGATTCCCCCTATTTTAATAAACCTTGAGAGAATTATCTCCTGATTCCTCAGATGTCTCTGTCCAAACTTAAATTAAACAAGTTTTAGCTCATTTGCATCCCCCCCAATACTTTACAGTTTTGATTAAATTTAAATTTTTACACTTTTCTACAGTCGATTTAACCCAAACTAGCGACAGACATTGTCTGCTACAAAGCTTGTAAACATAGTGCAGTAGTAGGAAGATTCTGTGTCTTCCTCAGGAGTTGGTAGAGACTTTAACTTCAACAATCCACTTGATTAGCGGCCACGTTTTTGCATGTCAGTGATTCCCTAACATGACTTTGTTGGGTTTACAGATCAACACATTCTTCGAGACCTGGAGAAGAGAAAGATTCTGGTGTTCACCCCGTCACGACGTGTCGGAGGTAGACGGGTGGTCTGTAACGATGACTGCTTCATTGTCAAGGAGGCCTACGAGTCAGACGGCATCATCGTGTCCAACGACATGTACCGGGACCTGCAGGTCGAGAAGCCGAACTGGAAGCGCTTTATTGAGGAGAGGCTGCTCATGTACTCCTTTGTCAATAACAAGTAAGTTCGGCCTTCTTGATACAGAGTTACCCTGGCTGTGTTAGGCTGTGCTGTTTGTTAAAAGTGTGAATTTTACCCTGTCGCAGGTTTATGCCACCTGATGATCCTCTGGGCCGCCATGGACCGACACTTGAGAACTTTCTGCGAAGGATTCCAAAGAACCAGAAAAAAAAGACATGCCCTTATGGTGAGAGAACCACTTTAGCACATCCGCAATATTTACATGGCAACCATTTTACTCTGGTAGTAGGTAGGTTGACAGTCGAGTTAAAAAAAAAAAACAGAACAACCTGTATGGGGTACATTTTTTAATAATTGGTTTGTTTGGATTTTATGAAGAAAAATTGTTGATATGATGGGCAGGGATCTTGTTAGCTTAAAGCCAGCCTCAGCTCAAAAAGTTGCCCAGAAGTTAGTGGAAGTCAGCATTTCCAATATGACGACTGCCAAAAATGGGCATCAAAAGTTCGCTGAATATTATGCTAGCCTTCAGGCATTTCCTAGCTTATTCAGATGTTAGCTAACAAGACTGCTAGATAAGAATTTACATCTTGAATTTGATATTTTTTATTTAACCTGTGAAATGTTGTCAGATTACAAATTGGTTTCCCAAAGTTAAAATCTTTAACATTAGCACATAAGCATTGTCAATGCTAGCATTAGCATTAGCAGGCTGGTTAGCTTAAGGCTCAAAGTACTATTGTGCAGAGCCCTGAGTGCCTCTTGACTTTCAGCTTTGCGATTCTAAAATCTTCTTTTTTCTGTTTGTTCTTTTAGGAAAGAAATGTACGTATGGAATCAAGTGTAAATATGACCACCCTAAGAGAGCCCACCAGTCAAACCACTCTGTTGCCGATGAGCCTAAGTACAACGCTAAGCAGCCCTCCACTGCTCAGAAACATTCATCAGCTCGCTCTAGTCATGTGCCTGGACAGAGCCTCTCGTTGGTGGAAGAAATGGCAAAGAAACTGACTCTAGGACCTGAGAGCAGCTCCTTAAAGAAAGATCCCAGAAATGAAACTGGTGTTCAGGTGAAGGCAAGTCATCCGTCTGGCAAGAGGTCCACACCTAGAAAGGAGAAGACAAGCCATAAGTCGTCTTCTGATCAGAACCTAACGCGTCATAGTGGGTCTCAGGAGCAGCTGGACTCTGGTTTAGGCTCTATAGACAGTCAGCAAATGGAGGCTCTTTGGAGTAATTGTGATAACAAGTATGGGAGCTCTCAGCATTCCCACAATGCAAGACAGCAGTACTCCGCACCATGCGACGGCTGCTATCATGGCCCTGCCAATCAGGGAACTACATCAGCTTTCCAGCTCCACAACCAGAACTACGGCTCTGATATGATTCCCTATGGTCAGCCCCCTTACTCCGGCTACGCAGCGTATCCAGTCAGCATGCCCGTGTATGGAGAACAAACTGATTTCCAGCACAGCAGAGTTCATGGCAGCCAGCAGCAGTACTGGTCGGATCCGTTTGGGGCTCATTGTAGACCAGCAAGGGAGTGCTCACATTGGGAGACTCCTCGGGAGAAACGAACAATTCCCGGTAATGTTGGGGAGGAGAGAGAAGTTGTCCGCAAGAAGCTCCTCGCTATCTTCAGTGCCCAGCTGGTGGACACAGCCATGAATATGTTTCCTCAGCAGATGGACCCACAGAAGATGGTGGCCGAGATCCTTGTGCTGCAGAGTCAAAACAGCTTGCTAAGATGAGGCGTGACCAATGACTCTGAACCCGCTGCCTTTAGTGGAAAGGCTACCAAAGATAAACATGAGTCAGTGTATTTTTGTAATGTGGTATCCACCTTGATTTAACAGTGTTTTTGAATGTCAGGCTATGGTACATCCACCAGATTCCCATGGCCCCCATTTTCCTCCAACGTCACGTTCAGACTGGAAAGCTCGATTTCTGTTCGACTGTCAAGCTTTTATGTTTCAGGTTGTACCGGTACGTCTTAAACATGTTGGGATTTCATATAAATCGTTTTTATTTTGATATCAACTAATCAACAACTAAATCTATGAGAATACGCTGGAGGGACAACAAGCAATATTTCAAGTAAACTAAAAACCCTTTGTTACCCTTCAGCTAATGTCAGCATTCTGCCACTTACTTTTTAAGTTAACTTGAGTTTGTCTTGAAGCTTTTATCAGCTCTGAAATTTGTGATACACCAAGATATAAAAGGTTTAAATGTAATCAAGGAACAAGTGAAATGCTAACATTAGCTGTTGCCTGATATTGGCCAATGGCGAGTTCTAAATTTGGGCCACTTTTTGGCCTTTTTTGGATAAGACAGTTGTAGAGAGAGACAGTAAATGTTGGGTGGGAGGGAGATGACGAGCAGCAAATGGCAGAGGTTGCAGAGAGACTTTAGCCTCTCTATGAGGAGCACACGCTCCAACCACCAATGATTAGCCATTCATATTTATAAAGTTAGATTACAGGAAGTTGGTGAATTCTTTCATTAGCTTTTGTCTAGCTAGCTAATGGGCGATCAAACATGCTGTTGTCTTTTGAAATATGATCTGATGTCACTTAAGAATTCACTATCAATTGTCTTTTCCGTTGCTTATGAATAAGATGGTGCTAAAATGATGACATTGTTATAGTTATCCTTATTAATTCAACTTGCAACCTGGAAAAAATGTCATACTGACGAATGAGTTTCACTCTGAGCGTGCCGTGATGTCAGAGGAAAATTGCCGTTGTCTGAAAAAGGCCAGTTGTAAGTTTCCTCAGTGAACTTGAATAATTAAGAGGCAGAACATAAACGTCATTAAATATATCTTTTTGTAAAATTCTAAAAGGAAAAGGTTGATTCAATACCGTGTAATGAATTATCGGTGTATGTCACTGATACTGTTAAAAACGGAGTCCAATTCTATCAGCTCCACTCTTAATACAATCCAACACTGTCATAAAACCTGTTTTTAAAATGCCTATAATGCTCAGTTGTACTCAACACTTGTGGAGATAATAATTTAATTGTGTGCTCTTTGTTTTTGTTTTGACGAGGTCAGTGCCTCATAGAAAAAAGCCTTTGTGTCATATTGGCACGGTGTGTGGCTTTCACAGCCAAATGTTGTGCAGGTTTGGGCGCGTCAACCCTTCAACCCTTCATTAAAGTGTCCTCACATAAAGAGTTATTGGGAAGCACACTCAATAAAGATGTTACTCTCTGTAATTAAAAGATATTAGAGGAAATAAGAATTCAAACGTTGAACTGGCTCTTTTATATTCCCAGTTTTGTTCATTTGGTGTTTTAATTATTATTATTTTTTTGTTATTTCGATACTTGTCCATATTGTGACAAGAATATGAGAAATCAGAAGTTTGGTTTCACTTAAAAGACACCTGAGATGAAAATACAACTGTCCGAGAGAATACAATGTTTTTCAGTGTTTAATTTATTGTGTATTAATCGTATTACTGTGTTTATAATGGTGTTAAATTGCGCGGTTTGCTGGGCATTACAAACTTATACTGTTTTTACTTAAGTGTTGTCTAACAACAATGTTACTGTAAAGAAATACAAAATAAAGTTTTTTACAGTATCCAGAAACACCGTGTTTGTGTGTGTGAGAGTGTTCTTGACTTAGCCTCCTTTTGGGGACATAAATTTAAAGTCAGGTTGATCGAATGGGTGCATCCGCTGTGAGCCAACGGGGGGAAACGTTCATGTTTTTCATTCATAAAACATTCCTGGAAGCACAGACAAAGAACAGTGCCAGGACTTTTGTGTGTGTCTAACGCTGCAACTACAATTAATAGATATGCAAAAAGGCATGTTGTTGCTGCACGTGTTGAAAAATAAAGACAAGTGTCAATTAGAGGCTCCTCTGCATTTAGTGTTTGATTAGTTTGCTGATGAAAAAGGAGAAAAAGCAGCAAGACACAAAAAGTAAAGATGAACTTCAACATCTGTCCGAGAAAGACACAATAATTCTTTATGTACCAGTGAAGGTTAAAGGTCTTGTGAAGGTGTCTGCTGCATGATGATGTGGAAAAAGACTCAAGAATTTTGGTTGATTTGTGCCTTTACGGGTGCCGGGTGAGAGTGGGGGATGTACATGGGCCTTTTTTCATAACTGCTAAGCTATCCGGCGCCCTTATAAAACAAATTTTAAACAACTAAAGATATTCTCACATGTCTACACAGCTCACTAGGCCAGCACAGCAATCATTAGTAGAGGTGGGAAAAAAATCAATTCATGTAAAAATCGAGATTCTTATCTTCTTAGATTTTAAATAGATTCATAACTTCCAAAAATCGATGCTAAGTGCTAAGGCTAGCTCTTTACGAAATAGAATACCAAATGAAGCAGCTAGACATTCATCCAGTCTCACAGATGACTGGAGTAGATCCTGACGTACGTACTAATTCAAAAAATAGACTTAGAATAGATCGTTTTGAATCGGAAAAATAGATTCTGAATCGAATCGTGAGACACCCAAAGCTTCCCAGCCGGATACTCATTAGTGATTATATTAACAGGCGTCTCTCTCGATCACTACCACACGGTGCAGCAGGCTGGCGTAGATGGGCTGTTTTTACAAAGCAAGATCAAATTAGCTATCAGCAGATACATTTGTTTATCAAGTTAACACAGTTTCACACAGTTAGATATTATAGCTGGTGTTACAGCTGTATGTCTGCCTGTGCTGTTTTGTCCCTTCTCCCCTGCTGTTGTCTCCAGCCCAGGTGAAGCTTCTGATTGCACGACGAGTCGCACCTGGCCTCCGAGTTCAAAAGATCAGCGCTGTCTTCAGGAAGGAGGCGTTTGGAGTTGTAACTGCTGTGCCTCTCAGTCAGGGATTGTCTCTTGTGTTTTTTGTTATATTTATTTTTTTATATGTCAATTTTATTTAATTCAAAGAAACAATAAAGTTAAGAAAAACAAACAAACATAAAATCTCAATTTTGAATGAAAAGGAGCAGAAAGAAGATTAATCTATAATATCTGCCCCTCTTTCACAACACATAATATTAAAACAAAATTAATTCTTCTCAGTTGATCTTTGTTAGCATTTATAAAACTGTCTGTTGATTAAAAAAAATCCCATTGGTTGGATGTTGGTAAGGTGCACAGTGTGTTTTATTCGGTCTACTTGTGGGTTTGTTGTTAGCCCGGCGGTCTGGTGGGGAATACCGTAACGCTGGGGTTAAATCTGATGACACTCTTTCTCATTTAGCTTTCAAGTTTAGCTTGAAAAGAATCAAAAGGCCGCCTTGTACTGACGCTTGTCCTAAATAAAGGCAGAGTCATTTCAACAACACTACCATTTGATCGATGTTTAAGTACTGTTTTATCTCATCTCTGTCAAGTACTGATGGGCTTGTTGTCTCTGACATACTCCATCTGTTGTTTGTTTGTAAATGTATGCATGGTCTGAGTGGACTGTTGAGATGAATTGCCCTCTGGGATAAATAAAGACTTCTAAGTCTAAGTTTCCACAGGTTGGACGAGGTGTTTTCTACACAGTCGGGTGGTTGAATCTGTAACTATGCATCTGATGAAGTCATTATATAACTTGCATAATTATTAATCACATACATGTTGTGAAATAGAAAGGAAGCCTTTAATAATTCATTATGGAATTTGTGGGAGTAGGAGGTTAACAAAGAACAAACTGCAAATACTTAAGCAAATGAGTCCTACCTCAGATGTGTATTTAAGTTGACTGTGTTAACACACTAAGTCATTTCCCTTCTGACTATATGCAAATGAGGAGAGGTGTGTGTTCATGTCATGTACTAACCGGTTTGTTGTATTTGCATAGCAGTGATGTCTGTTTTCTGTAAAACATCTGCTCTCTACGCTCTGAACATGCTGAGTCAACAGGTCATCAGAGGCGCAGGTTGAAAGCGAAAATGGTTGTTGACAGTTCCTTTCAAGCCCCCATAATTTACTGATTTGAGTATCATGTGCACTAAATGAGGTCAAAGGAGTTGATCAGATAATAAGTGGGTGTATAAGAGTGGGAGAAGGTTACATTGACATTTTAAGTGCTTCAGAATATGAAAGATAAAACATTTCTCGTTTGCAGGTGGCAGTTGCTGAGCACGATGAGCTGTGTGGTCAGTGTGTTAGCTTCACGTTGTGTGTTTTCACATAGCGAGCAGCACATTCGGATTTATGACTCATTTGTGTCAAGTTCATTGTGACTTAAAACTAATCGACACACTGAAATATTACAAACGTACCCGAGTTTAAATGTGTAATGTGGTAAGGTCACTGAAAGTAGTAACCAGGACAGAAGCTTAGAGATGTTGTTGAGAAAGTGTGTGTGTGTGTGTGTGGGTGGGGGCTGACCTCAAAGACCTCCCGGCGGTGCAGACTTTCAGGAGGTCAGAGATAAGCAGAGGTGCTAGACGAGCAGCAGCATTTTGAACCAGCGGTTCTCAAGTGGTGGGTTGGGACCCAAAAGTGGGTCACATGGATGTTTTTAGTGGGTCATGAATGTAAAATAAACAGTAATGTTGAAGTAGTTGGTGGTGGGCTAACAACTACTGATTATGAATAAACACCCTCATACTACATATGTTCTTTAAAGGAAAAGCACAGCATGGACTTGTTGCCCCCTTTTGGGTCCTGATCCACCAGTTGAGAACCAGAAGAGAACCTCCAAGTCCATATACCATGTACCTGTATTGAATACATGTATCTGAAACAAAGAAAATAAATAAAAGGCCTGGTACAAAAGGTTTTTTGGTTCTGCTAATAATCCCTTTCATGAACTCTGAAGACAACCATCAATTACTGAAATTATATTTATTATTAATGGCTTAAAGGACAACCAGGGGAAGGGCTGCTTTGCGTCACAAGGCACAACCCTCGCTTATGCAATTCACTAAATATGACCTCAGCCTTTTTTAATCCACCGAGGTCACCTCTGGCCTCCGAAGCTTAAATGAGGACAGACAAAATACAAATGGCTTCAAACAGTTATCCAAAAACCAAAGAGTGATAAATAAGCTTATTTTATTCATGTTCATCTCTAAAAGCATCCCCTATTGTTAAATGTGGTTTGTGGTTTTAAGTCGAATTAGGTACATTGACATGATTAAATATTGGTTTGTTATGGTTTAAACTTTGGACAAATAATCCAAATCAACACGATAATAATCCTGTGGCGTTGAAGCTCACATGTCACCGAGTCAATAAGGACTTCCAGGTAACTAGGCCGGACTGACTGCAGGGGCTGGACACACTGTTCTGATCACGTGTGTGTTTTTTTAAATGTCATCTTTAAGCATGACTCATGTTCTGTCTGCGCCTTAACATAATATGCAAATTCTCTGGTTGGAATACTTGAAAGGATACGCTTGACTGAAAGTATGCTCAAGTCAAGACATGGCGTGCTGTTTTTAGAGAGTTCAGTTCAGAGCTGGAAGAAGTCCTCAGATCTGGACTAAAGGCCCTGATAGCACAATGAGGAACTACTCTGAAAACAACATTTAATGTGATGAAATTAGATAAGTGTACGCGTCAAAGTATTCTAAAAGTGCCAACATAAAAATACAAGTTTGCTGCACAGCTCACTTCAGAATCATATTTCATATCATAAGATTAAACTAAGAGCATCAATATAAACATGATGTAATGTTGCAGCTTGTAAAGACGGAGCTGATTCTTTTTTTTCTATCAATGGTCTGACTTTGCAAAATTGCCCAAATCTAGTATAATAAATGTACTAAAGTATTATAGTACAAATATTTATCTTAAATAAAGTAAATATTACAGCAAGCATGGGTACCTCAGATTTTACCCTATAGGTCAGTACGTAAGTCAAAGTTCAAAGTTCAAGATTTTTTGGGAAAGGTGAGTTTGTTGTGCAGACTGGAGGTTCGGTGTTCTAACAGCTACAACACATAACAATATTCAAGGTTAAAACGATCAGACAGAATACATAAGAACAAACATCGTCATTACATCAGGTCATGGCAAAGTCCATACACTCAAAAGCTGAAATACCTGGTTCCCCCCTACCTCCACCTGCACTCTCCCACCTGCACTCTCCCACCTGCACTCTCCCACCTGCACTCTCCGGTCTTCTGATGCAAACCTCCTGCCCACCTTGCAGGACCAACCTGCAATGCAGTCCTGGGGGGACAGGGCCTTCTCCATTGCCGCTCCCACCCTCTGGAACTCACTCCCAAAAAGCATCAGAGACTCCCCCTCAAACTCTCCACCTTCAAGAAATCCCTAAAAACTCAGGTTCATGATCACCTCTTCAACGAACTATCATCCTCCTTCTCTCAGGTTACGTCTTCGTTGTTTTGTTTTCACTGTTTTGTTTTCACTGTTTTGTTTTGTTGTTATTCTTTGTTAAGCTATAAAACTTTAATGCATTATTATTATTGGGTAAAAAAAAAAAAAAAAGTGCATCATCTTGTGTTGGCTTAGTTAAGTAGTTTAATAGCTGCAGGTAAGAAAGAGGGTTACTCTAGCCCCAGGATTTCAGACAGAGAATACGAGTGTGTTTACACTATATGCAAATGTTCTGAGGCATGATGTAAAACGCTCTGTAGGTTTGTTAAGGTCTCCACTTTCCCTGTAAACTTCAGCTGTGTTGTTAACTCAGAAGAGAAGTATAAAGGGTTGCACACACTTACTTTATTTGCTCTGCAGTCTCACTGACACACTCACGCTTAAACACAGCTTGGCCCGCCCTTATAACAGTTGAGGAGGGTCTCTACTTGTTCATGTTTATTTTTGTGAAGAACAGTAAAACATCAGCTGCATCCACTAAATAGCTTTGGAACAGCTCAACAGATTACAGACGTGTTCAAATGACGCCCCCTGCTGGATTGAAAGAGTAAATGCAATTTTGCTTTTATCGACTGTGAAGTTGAGGATTTATAAAGTTTATTTTCTGTCGTCTAAATGCCATTTATGTCTTTTGTAAGCTTCTTATTTTCAAAAAATCTACACTAATAAACTTGGCGTATCAAAGATATAATTTGCTTGTGTTTTAGTAGCCTGCAATACATACATACAATATAGTCGGATTAATATTTGACCGTGTTTTCTGCTTTATGTAAAAGGAGAAGGAGTGATAGATTTATAATAATAATAATAATAATAACTTTATTTATATAGCACCTTCTTAAAAACACAGGTTTACAAAGTGCTTTGACAAACAGCAAAAACAAGAACAAACTAAACCAAACACAGAAGAACATAAACAACAGCAAGAACATAACAAATGCAAAATACTAAAAATAATTAAATACAATTCAACAGAAAAGAACCCAAAGTGCACGATACCCAACAGACATATAGAACCAGACCATCACAAGAACCATTATAAGAACCATCACAAGAACCATCACAAGAACCATCAGGCAAAACAAGAACCATCACAAGAACCATCACAAGAACCATCAGGCAAAACAAGAACCATCATAAGAACCATCAGGCAAAACAAGAACCATCATAAGAACCATCACAAGAACCATCACAAGAACCATCACAAGAACCATCATAAGAACCATCAGGCAAAACAAGAACCATCATAAGAACCATCACAAGAACCATCACAAGAACCATCACAAGAACCATCATAAGAACCATCAGGCAAAACAAGAACCATCAGGCAAAACAAGAACCATCATAAGAACCATCACAAGAACCATCACAAGAACCATCACAAGAACCATCACAAGAACCATCAGGCAAAACAAGAACCATCAGGCAAAACAAGAACCATCACAAGAACCATCATAAGAACCATCACAAGAACCATCAGGAAACACAAGAACCATCATAAGAACCATCACAAGAACCATCACAAGAACCATCATAAGAACCATCACAAGAACCATCAGGAAACACAAGAACCATCATAAGAACCATCATAAGAACCATCAGGCAAAACAAGAACCATCATAAGAACCATCACAAGAACCATCACAAGAACCATCAGGCAAAACAAGAACCATCACAAGAACCATCACAAGAACCATCATAAGAACCATTATAAGAACCATCAGGCAAAACAAGAACCATCATAAGAACCATCACAAGAACCATCACAAGAACCATCAGGCAAAACAAGAACCATCATAAGAACCATCATAAGAACCATCATAAGAACCATCAGGAAACACAAGAACCCAACAACACGAGCTGACACCAAGAGGAGCAAAGATTTAAAAAGATGTAGGAAACTAAAAGAGCTAAAAGCAAAATAAAAAGATAACAGCAATAAGAAGGTAAGAGCAGAAAAAGAAATAGAAACAAGTGGTTAAAGGATTAAAAAAACTATAATATTAATAAAAATAAAAAGTATATATAAAACATAAATAGACAAAGTAAGTAAGATAAGAAATTACCAAGTTAAAACACAAGAGGAGTTAAGATAAGAGAATAGAATGACTTTATTGATCCCAAACTGGGAAATTGTGGTAAGAGCATAAATAAACAATAAACAATAAACATAAGAGCATAAATAAACAATAAACATAAGAGCATAAATAAACAATAAACATAAGAGCATAAATAAACAATAAACATAAGAGCATAAATAAAAAGACAGTAAGAAGTAAAAGAAGATAAAAATAGTAAAACCAGTAAGAAAAGACATCAAGAAGACGACATCACATGAAAGCAAGTCTGTTAAAAGTACGTTTTAAGAAGGGCTTTGCGTCAGGATAACTTAACAGACTACAATAACCAGAATCCAATGCGTGCATCTAGCGCATGCGCGGTGTGAGTCGGTGTCATGACGCTCGCTGACTGTGTTGTCCTAACCCAGTCACTGTAGCTGCCGCTGCTCCGCCGTGTTTTTTAGCGAGAACTCGTGAATACATGTCGCAGTTATGTAGCTCACGGGAGGAGGACTTTACCCCGCTGTGACCGGCTAACTTCAGCGTTGTGTGGCAGCCCCCTGGCTCGGCTTGTTTACAGGACTGCGACCCCCCTACCCGTCCCCCCTTCCCCCCCTCCGACCCCTCGTTTGTCCACCAGCTAGCTGTAGCCACACGCTGGTGTGAGCACTGCGATGTGCTGCTGTTTGTTTTTGTCGTCTCGGCTGGCTTTCCGACTCATCTGACACATTTTTGTGAGTCCTGTGCGAAGAAGAAAATACACTACATCGTGTTTTTGTTGTTGTTGTTGTTGTTGTCTTAAAGCTAAGATGTGGCAAAGTGTGGGGCTCACACTGCTGGTCATTGTGGCCACACTTGTCTGTGCGCTGCTCTTCATGCTGTTCGGTAAGTTCACAGGACATAACCTCAATAACACACTTGCATAACTCCCTCTGCAGCTGCTTTGTCTGATACTGGATCTAGAGGCCTGGCTTACTTTAGATGATAATAAGAAGCTGTCATAGCTGATAATTAGGCTGATATATATATATTTGTCTTGTTGTGCATCTATTCCTTTAAAAGAACCTCCTCCTCGGACAGCAGGTCAGAGTGTATTGAATGTCTGGAAGTTTTGATCAGCAGATTTCTATTTTAAGATGAGAGGAGGAGTCTGGAAACAGGAGAGAACATAAACATGGCTGCTCTGCTGCTGCAGGTGTATGTTCACTGTATCCCCCCCCACTAACCCCCAGTGACTCTGACAAACCAGTTCAGCTTTTATCTGGACACACTGGTTGGGTCTTGATAATCAGACCAGGAGGTGGGAGGTTAAATGAATTGTACCTCTAATGTGAAACCATTAACTTTACATTATTACATGGTACTCACTTAGGGAATAAACCATTATGATGTCATTGTAAATCCTGCATTCAAATGTATGCAAGACGTTTTATCAATATAATGTAGGAATGAGTTTTAGAAAGTGAGGAAAAGACTAAAATATAGGAAACACCATCCATTAAAGTGCAGTTTTATTCTACTGTGAGTCAGCTCTTTCCCATCCTTTGTGTCTTAAACTGCATATTTTCTTGCTCGTTTTGTATAACAATGAAAACTTTAAAGTTTTAAAGACACTTTTTCTGTATAGAAATCTAAAATGTGTTGAATTTTCAAAATGAAAAGTACAGTTTCGTTCACTTTGCACAAATCGCTTCAGATCATTTTTATCTGCTGTTTCAGTTTGAATGATGAGACTTAGTTTTTCTGTCGACTAAATGCGTCTTTTTCATTATTACATATTACTCACTTAGGGAATAAACCATTATGATGTCATTGTAAATCCTGCATTCAGATGTATGCAAGACGTATTATCAATATAATGTAGGAATGAGTTTTGAGCAGTGAGGAAAATGGGATTTATAAGAGTAAAATAAGCATATACTAAAATATAGGAAAGAACATCCATTAAAGTGCAGTTTTAATTCTACTGTGAGTCAGCTCTTTCCCATCCTTTGTGTCTTAAACTGCATATTTTCTTGCTCGTTTTGTATAACAATGAAAACTTTAAAGTTTTAAAGACACTTTTTCTGTATAGAAATCTAAAATGTGTTGAATTTTCAAAGTGAAAAGTACATTTTCATTCACTTTGCACAAATCGCTTCAGATCATTTCTGGCCGCTATTTCAGTTAGAATGATGAGATAAGATAAGCCTTTATTTATCCCACAACGGGGAAATTTACATTGTTACAGCGGCAAAGAGCAAAAAGTGAACACAGTACAATTTAAATAAAAAAAGAAAAATTACAAATATCAAATGTACGAAAGAATTGATAGATACAGAGAGATGATGAGAGAGACTTAATTTTCTGTCGACTAAATGCGTCTTTTTCATGCCGTTCTCATAATTAACTTGTTCTAAGTGTTTTTAAACGACCTTGTGGATTTTGTAAAGCTGGTTTGAGAATTTGTTTTCAATGAATAATCAGCGCAAAGAAGGATTGAGCGTTAAAATGAAGTTCATTTTCCTCTCCTTTCTCCTCTCCAGGTTGGTATGTAGTCTGGCAGCTCTTCTTATCCAAGTTCAAGTTCCTGCGCGAACTCCTCGGCGACGCCAGCACCCCGCCGGCCGAACCGCAGCCGTCCGAAACCAAGAGTGAACGAACGGCGACCGCCCCGACGAGGACTCGGCCCAGGACCGCACGCCAAAGAGTCGCTACTGCAGAAAGCACCTAAGACAACGAAAACTCCCCCACTCTCACTGTGACTGCTCATCAGACATCTACGCACGACACTCAGCCCTCCTCTCCTTAGGACACTTTAAACTGACCAGGCAGACCTCCTGGTTCAAAGGGAAAAGCCATCGCTGTCCATTTCTCTGTCTTTACTTGTGTACGGTGCGGTGAGTCTGGGGGCTCCGCTCATGATCTCCTTGCAGTAGTGACAGCTGCTTCCATGAGCCCACGCTGCTTCCTGCCAGAATGAGGAGTACAAACATCCTCCATCTTAAACTTTTCTTTTTTTTAACACGTGTGAGTTAGTTTTTTTGAAGAAGGTCGGCAGATAAATGTCAAATACTAGCTCGTCTACATCATTTCAACAACTGAAACAGTGACTTGTACAACTGACAGTTTTTATTTTCCCTTAACTACGTAACAAAGTGCAATGAAAGGAATGTGGAAGCTGCCGTTGAGTCGTTTTCTTGCACAGTATATTTATCATGGAGGAGGCGGAGACGGCCCGAAAAAAAAAGGCTTTTGAGGAAGACGACAAATGGCACGACTTCATTCCAGTTGTGTAAACTGTGACCCCCCCCCCCCACCCTCGCTACTTCTCCTTCACTCTTAATTCTGTACTTGAAGAGTCGGGAGAGCGTTTTTGAGAAAATGATGACTGTCGGTGTTTAGCAGCAGCAGCTCTGGACATCAGGCGTTTTCGGACCAATCAGTTCTGGACACTCCCCCTGAGAGGAACCGCCCACTATGGGACACTTCCCACCTTCAAGGCCTCTTATTTTGAAGTTTAACAACGTGGATCAAACAACAGACAGAGGACAAAGCGGTTAGAGCTCTCTTGTTAAGTCTTTTGGGTCATGTGATGACAAAAAGTGTGAATTTTAAACTTCCTTATTGCTCCATTTGTCCGTCCTTTTGTCCACTTTATTAACGCTGCTGTTAAACGTGCGTCTAAAGGTGGCTGCGTCGGCTCCATGAGGAATGTATACAGCGATGGATGAGGGATCCTTTTTAATTTTATGAAAGCTCCTCATTTGGTGCATGACAACCAAGCACGTGGGTCTAAGTTATTTGAATCTTCTAGATAACTTGAGCACTGTGTGGCCAATAGAGCAAGTCCTCTAGCAGGTTAATTAAGCCCCGCCTCCAATCACCAAGGTTTATAAAAATAACCCAAACGGCTCCACTTCAGCAGCCTTTTGAGGGTTATTTAAGTGTCTGTATTGGGTGGTAAAAGCCTAAAAAGAAAACTAGCTGCTTATTTTAATGTATGTAGAATGTAAAAGTGCTTTGGGAGGGACTTGAGCAGCTCAAATGTTTGACAAATCATAATACACTTACGTCTGGACCAGTCCTTGCACACTACATCTTAAAGGTTCCTCTGGTTTTGTAGAAACTAGAATGGCTCCCCTTTCTTGCTGTGCAAAAACAAGAAAGAAGTCGGGGGGGTGTCCTCAAACTCTTCTTGGAGCTGTGCATGAGTTCCTCTGGTCTGAGAACGCCTGATGTCAGCGGGCGCTCCCAGGCTGCGGTCTGAACCTCCTCCTGCTCCCCGTGCCTCTGTCTGCTCCAGTGCCTGTTTAGATGGCATCCACTGTTTTGTTACATGGCCTCCTTTTGTAAAACTGACTTGGTTCCCATTACAGGGAGCGTTGAGGATGACCATGCAGGGCCTCTTCTGTGTTTAAGTAATACTCTCCCTCCAGGTAAAGCTCATGTAACTTTGCACCTTTTTATCAGCAGTTTAATTTTTCCAGTGGAGCAGAAGCTTCAAATAAATATCGCCATGAATAAAGATTTTGTTCTGATCTCTGTGCTCTGAAAAAAAAACTCTCTCAAAGTTTGTGCTCGATGGTTTTAAGAACAGTGTCTGATGTGCCACTCATACAAAGAGCAAGAACTTCCACAGTGCAGAACTCCTCTGTTACAGGTAAAAAGACCTGCATTTATAATTCAGTTCATTAAATGTATATAAAGAATATTAACATCACATTTAAAGCTAAAGTGCTCTTTATGCAGACGAGCCTATTTCACATTAACATGTTGCTGAATTATAAACGTGGATGCATTAAAATGTGCTTCACAAAACTTTAAGTTTCAGCAGGTAAAGGTTAGAAATAAAATCCTGATTTGTTGGTTAATATGTGGAGCGTAATTATGAAGCTGCAGAAGAAAAGGAAAAACTGAAAAGGTAAAAGTATGCAAAACTGAAAATGTGCTCAAACCAGTTTCACCACAAGGTGGCAGTATGATGCCAAGAGAAAAAACAACCACAACAAAATACAGTTTCTCATCTTAAAGTGACATACATTTAATAATAGAAGATAGTAAATGATTTATTAAATTCAGACCTGAGTTCAGTCAGTGTTTGTGATCACATTCTTATAATCTGAAAAATATGGGACAGACATAACAGCTGACTAATAATAAGTATGTATTGTAAAAAATTAAACCATTGAATATGATTTTTAACATGGAGTGTGTCTGTCAGTGAAGTCAGAAGTGTGAATGTGGATTATCAATCTTTATTTTTATAACTGCCAATTCATACCAATTGTTATCTCCAGACGTGTTACAAAAGAGCAGGTTAAAGAAAAACAGGATCAGATAAAGGAAGGATTTCTCCCTTTGTATTCCTCGTGTTCCCGTTTCCACACGTCCTTGCCACATGATGTGTGGCATGATGAAGTGTGTGATGTTGTGAAGCAAAATAAAACAAAGAGCGAAATGTGCCAATGATGGTTGGAGTGAGTCCATGTGGCATGAGAGCGAGAGGCTGGGGTTTGGCTTTTAATGCCCTGGGAGCAACAGGCCCAGGTGCTCTGAGTTGGACGCTCTGATTCCTCTGAGAACAACAAGAGACAGAAGCAATTAGTAAAAGCCTGACAGTACAGACAAGGCAGTTAACATCTTGAGACGGAAATATTTAACGCGTCTGCATTTTGGTGAACATCAGGTGTGGAGATGTAGTGAGACAAATATTGTTTCAGTTTGTCTTCATGGTTTAGTTTCTCTTTTCTTTTTTTTTCCCGAGTAAAGGGTTCATGAGGTTTCTCTAACACATTAGAAGAAACCGTGCAGCTGTTTTGTTTTTCAGTGGAATCAAAACACACAGACACACTCACATGCTGAAACAAATAAAAAGCTAAAAATAAAACAAACACTGACACAGAACACATGTGAGGACTGCAGTGAACTTCTCCGCTAACCAGTTTGACACTCAACTTTAACGACAGATTTTTTTATTTAATTTAATTTTGAAATTTTTTTAAATCCCAGAGGGGACATTCTGGTTTTTTTTTACACTTTGTTATTCTCACACACATAGGCCAAATGTACACACATGCACAAACAGGACCTGTGGACGTGTATTAGTGGAGACATGTCAGAGTGGGGCTGCTACACTGGAAACGCAACAAAGCTGTTGGGGGTTCGGTGCCTTGTTCAAGAGATAACCTCGGCTGTACTCAGGAAGTGACCTGGCACCTCTCTAGCCACCAGACCAATTTGATCCGCACCAGGACTCAAGCTGGTGACCCTCCTGTTCCCAACCCGGGTCCCTACAGACTGTATGTATATTGTGTGTAGCCTTACAGGAGCATTTTATTAAAGGCGCAATATTTCTACCTCAACGATCATCGACTTATTCCTCAACTTCACAGACCTAAACCCACTCAGAATAATTTTTTTGTATCTTAAACAGAAGCTGGATGAGGTTTTTCTTTAGGCAATACTAAACGCGCAGGTACAGGACAGGATGAAAAAAAAGGTTGCTTTGGCCACAAGGGGCCGCCAAACTGAAGAAAAGAAAAACCTACTGACTGCTTTAAAAGACATTTTTTTTTTGAGTTCAGAGTCTGTGGTATTGCTGTTTTACTTAAGCAGAAGATCTGAGTTTTTTCCACCACTGCAAGAACATAAATCTAATTAAATGTAATGAAGAAATATTTAAAGAGCAGCATTTGGTGCATTTTACTGTGGTATGACTCAAAAGAAGAGAATCCAGCCTTACAAAATATCCTGCGTTCATCATCCACTTTGAACACATGCAGAACATTAAGAAACCACACTTACAGTAAATTGACTTTGAGGCAAACCTTCACTGGTAGTTTAATTCATGCTAATGATGCCACCTCTCCCTCAGATCTGGCTCAGTGTGTTTCTGCCTGCAGCTGGGCCTTTTTTTTTTTGGGGTGAAAACTAGGCCCCGTGGAGCTACCAAGCTGTAATTTTGAAGCCTGCAAATACTTCACAGGAAATGATTGTGGTCAGCCAAGGAAATGACATAGACTCTGCAACACTCCTCTAACTCTCTCTCTTTTTATTTACAGCTAGAGCCAGCCTCAGCTCTCCTGTAGTTGGCCGGGGGAGGAGGGTGGGGGGGGGGTAGTGCACGTTCACCTCCCTGATGACCTTTTACTGTCAGTGTGTTCGACCCGACAGGTGAGCAGCTGACTTCTTTTTCTGCACTTTTTTCCATCTCAGCAGTCCAACACCTGTTTGCTGTTTCTCCAGCTCGACTAGACGGTATCTCATCGGGGAGCGTGGAGACAACTGCTCCAGGGGATTTAAAGCTAAAACGCAGCTTCAGCCCTCTGTCTCTGCAGCACCTTGCGTCGCTGTGTGCAATTGTGGTGAGCCAATTTACGAGATGTTTGGCAGGCTGCCCCTGGTGACGGACACACACAGAAGCTGCTGTTCAGTGCAGGACAGTGTGTACCGGCCTGTGTGGATGTATTAGAGCTGCCAGGACCTAAATAACTCATTGATTCACCGCTTGCTCCCCCCCAGGTCTCAGGCATTAATCACCTAATAGCTATTTTTCTCACTTGTTTGGAGCTGCATCATGGCCTGAAGTGCACTCATCATCACTGCCAAACAAAAGTAAAAAGGACAACTAAACAAAGAGAGCCACCATGACGTAAACTAGATTGTAACTAGCTTCAGCTGGTCTTATTCTCTCCTTAATATCTACATCTGGGTAGCTCATTTATTATTTAACAGTAGAGACAATAGAATCAACAAAACAACAATCTGCTTATTGCTAAGTAGCATGCTAACATCCTAGATTAAGTAAACAAATTGATGTTTTTGCCCCCCTACAGAGCCTTAGCTTATTAGCATTGTCAAAGCTAAAGTCGAGCAAATGGTAACTGGCTTACGAGAAATCAGCTGTTAAAAAAGGAAACATCTGGTAAAGTTAAGACATTTTCAGCTGCCTCAGCTTAACTGGTAGCTTGTTGCGCGCATATTAGCATATTAGCATGTAGCAATGAGCGATATTTAAGCATTGTAGCTTAAGTCTAACTAACGGTAACTAGCTTAGAAGAGAATTAGCTGCTAATTAAAAACTTGCAATGTTAAGACTGTTTCATATTTACTTTTGTACTTAGGATAATGCTAAGTAGCATGCTAACATGCTAACATGCTAGATTCAGGGAACACAATTTAATGCTTTTGCCTGCGTCAGTGTCAAAACATTAGATTTATCAATGTCTTAAATATCATTCAGATATTTTATCTTGAGGAATTGTTTAAATTCAAATTATGGATTATTTATTTACTTGATGATTTTTTGTCTTTTTTCTAGATACAAATTGAGACTCAGAAATGTGTTGATGTCATAAAGATTTGTAGTGAATAGTGAATTGTCCTGATTTTGTTATATTGTCTACATACTGTATGTCCTGTTTTGCTCTATTTTTATGTTTTCAATGTTTGTATGTAATTTTAAATTGGGTAAATTTTATTTGTGATAGTAAATATCTTACTTTGTTATTTTTTTACTGTATTTTATTTTAACTTTGTGTAATCTCTTAAGGTGAGGTTTAGAGATAAACCTCACCTGCACATGTGTTTTATTTTTATTTTTTATTTTCTGTTTGATTCTTCTTTAAAAAAATGTGCAAATAAACTAAACTAAACTAAACTAATCTAAACTAAACTAAATGTAATTTAACATTTTTTACATTTAAAAGCTCCCTAATGGATTAAAGGATCTCTTTGTAGCGTTTTTCTCTTTGTTTCAAATAGTTTTCTATCATTCTGTAAAGTGTTCTTAAAACTGTCCGTACGTACGATGAAACAATCAATTAATTTGACTCTGACCGTTTAGCATGCTAACATTAGCTTTAGGCTAGAATAGCACCACAGCTCGCAGTTTCACTGCTGCAGGCTGTTAATTTAAGTTCCTATCTTTTGTGGAATATTCATTCTTAAATGGCATTAAACAACACTTTTAAAAGTGTTTTTCTCACCTCCATCTTTGTTTTTCCCGCTCTCAGGCCTTTTCATGGCAGAGACTACATGTTAAAAACAGACTCTTTATTGTGACCCAGACGTCTCCTGATTTACCACGTCGCTGTGCAGTTTGTGTTAAATGGGAAAACTCTTTTAAAAGTCATTGCAAAATTCCTTTCTCTCTCATCTCCCCGGAGAGCGCAGCGAGGAATGCAGAGAATAATAAAAACAGTTAGATTGCTTGTAAGTGCCAGCCTGTGTGAGCTCGGAGGATTTTTAATGAGATTTCCTGATTGGGAGCTTAAAGAGGAGGGGAGGTGGTGGTGGGGTGGGGGGGGGGGGGGGGGGGGGGAGTGGAAGACTTACTGGGGTGTCGAGCATGTTTTCTTAACACAGTCCTATCAATCAATCTTTAAAGCAACTTCTCCACAGGGAGACACTAAATGTCACTCCGATTATAAAGAAAGAGGAGCAGGTTTAGATGTGGAAAACACACACAAAGCCTTTTTTTTTTTTAAGTTATAGTAGGTCCAAACACGCAAACCTTCACCTTTCCGCTCCCTAGAGACTCTTTATGTACATTACATCGATTCACTACACTTTGAACCAGAGAAAATGTCTTGAAGCTGAGCATAATTCTCACAGTCCAGCGTCTTGTCCTTTACTTGCCCCTCATTATTTTCTCAGTGTCATGTCTAATATTCTACAAACTTAGGAAGGATTTGGCACAGGAACGTCATCCAGCAGCCCCCCCGTCCCTGCTCACTGTAAAATCCTTTCAGCCCTCACAGCTTACTGATGCCTTTCTAAGATTAGAGGGTACAAATAACTCTGATCAGATATGACTCCAAATCAAAAACATCCCCCCAGGCCACGCTGGGAGTTGATTCAATCCGACAGGACTTTGGACAACCGCAGTTACATAAGAAACCGAAAACCTGTAATGCTATTTTATTTTCAGATGTAGTTCTTCATTTATTATTAGAAAAGCTTTGGTTGAATCTGCTCTGCATGCAAGTTCTGTTTCTCACCACTGAACCGGAGATCATAGCCCAGTGTGAATGTTCATTCCTGGCGTTATTACGTTATGTGGGTAAGACTGTGAGATGGGAAAAGCTCAAGGAGAACTCATCAGATTTATAATCCTTGGATTGTTCACCATGTCCAGAGTCTGTGGTCCTTTATGTCATCACACAATCTCTCTCTCCCAGGTTTCACGCTGATCACTGTCCTCTCTCAATAAAGCCCCAGAATAAATCTTATCAGTAAGATAATACAGGAGCATTATGCAAGAATACCAGTATTGGCCTTTGACCTTTGCAAACATTGGTGCTAAGTTTTAAATTTAGTGCCTTATACTAAACCAAGCGGCAACCTCCGGTCTTGAAAAATGAAGCCAATGCGGAAGTGCAAAAGCCTGCAGTTCATCGAGTGTCCACTTGAGGCTGGCTCCAGGAACACGGGAAGTCACATACACACCACAGCCAAAAAAGCTGGCACACACTGCACGGTGAGGGGGGGATTTTTTTTTTAAACGGCTCCATTTAAATTTTTAAAACGTACGTTATTCATAGTTGGGCTTGTAGCTGACATGATTGACAGGTGGGCGCAATGTAACAGTTCATCAAGAGGCTTAAAACCCGCCTCAGCTCCAGCTCTCAGCCTGTCGTTAGGTTGACTGAAAGTTAGACTGAGACAGCATTTCCAGTTTGGCGGCGGCTGCTGCTGATGAGCCTCCAGCCCCCTGCAGGAACAGATGGGTGATGTCACTCAGGCTTCATCCTTTAATAATTACAGTCTATGACTAAAACGTACACAAATCACAGCTTCCCTCTATCTTACTGTAATCATACTTCCATCTTTGTTACGTCAGAGGAAATAAACGACACAGTCCCACGTTTCAAGACAATCCTTTACTTTGTGGAGAGCTCCACACACACATATACACACACACACACACATTTCCACAATAACGTGATTTACAGGGAGATTTACTGTCACATCCAGCAGTAAGACACATTAACGACATTCTACAGGTAAAAATGAAAGAACAGGACTCATCTCATAAGGTGCTTTATATATATAATATGCGACAGGAATGTTATGAAAAACGTCTACATGATCCTACAGACAACAAAAAACTGCTGCTACATAAATATATATTCATACCATAATATAAAACAATCTAAACAAAAATAGAGCAGATATTTACAGAACCGACTATTTACAACATCAAAAAAGGCTTAAAGATGAGGAGCAATATATATATATTTATATAAATGAACTGTAAATATATAGATTTATGCTCGGAGCATGTACATGTGGAGTCTGTGGGGAGATTCAGCGGAGCAGCACGGAGCGTAAATCACAAATTAGCCAACTGCAGCAACTGTTCTTTGAACTGCTGCGAGTGATGTGAGAGGTCTGTGACTCTGTCCACCATCTCCTGGATGGCGGCCGTGTTCGGGTAGTTCAGCGCGGCCGTTTTAGTCGCTGCCACGACCGTCTTTAGCAAGTCACACAGCACGTTACTGGAGTTCATGACCCGGTTGGCCACCTCGGGCGCCGTCGCCTGCCTGGACAGAGTGTCTCCGATGAAGACCAGTTTGTGCGCGCTGAGGATGACGAACTTGCTGTGGGCGACGAAGATGCGCGGCGGCTGCCCGGCGCTGACACAGCCGAAAAAGGCGTCCACGGCGCTGAGGAGCGTGACGAAGTGCTGCTCGCACTGCTCCGAGTAGAAGCCGAGCAGCTCGCGGTCCCGGGCGCACACGGGGGTGGAGGGGGACAGGGAGGAGGAGGAGGAGTCAGAGGGCGAGGTGGAGGTCAGGCCCGTGTGTTGGTGCGAGATCCACTGTGTGATGTCGTTCTCCACGGGTTTGATCACTTCCTGCTCCAGCTTCTTGAACTGATTGATCTGTGAGGAGCGACAGGATCGAGATTAAAGATTAATTTACAAACACTCTTTTATGATTTTCTAAAATATTCAAACACAAAGATTCTATTTAACGTTAATGCTTTGCTTGGAGAATGATTCACCTCAAAATAAAGCTGCAAATTGATTTGTTTAATCGTTTCTCAAGGAAAAATCCAAACATTCACAAATCACAGCCTCTAAAACACAAGGACCTGATGTTTGTTGTCTCACATACGACAGAAACATGTTCAGATTTATTCAGATTTAGCCTCTTAGTCTAAAAACGAGCACTTAACAGGACGTCTTTCTGAAAAGTTAATATCTACATTTTTCTCTACTTAACAATAGAAACATAGTTTAATAGGCTGATTGTACATTTAAATTATTGGATTAGAAATAAGTATGTTTATGTATAAATTAGTAATATGTTAAGAGCTTTTTCTCTCAGGCTGTCAGGACTGTTAACTCTGCCCTTCTCAGGTCAAAACATAGCACCTCATTAACATAACACACCTAATGTGTGACATGTGACTGTACCATACATGATGCACACACACCACACATTCACACTCCGCACTTTGACACCTTCACACCTTGGACACTTCATATCCTTTACATCTTCTACATTTTGTATATTTACATATATTTCCTTTTGTTAAATCTTATAGTTCTACATTTGCATTTCCCTGCACATCTGTATGAGCATGTGATAAATACAAATCTTGAATCTTGAATAAGTAAATAAAAACAGTCAGCGGCAGCCTCTTAAAATCAGTTTTCAGGACTGAGACATTTCACATGTTTGTCTATAACACTGAATATAAATGACTTCAATGCATCAATCAGAGTTAAAGTACAAACACGACATCCTTAAATCTAATTAAATACTAAAAAGCTTTAGGAGGAATGAGCTTTGTTCTTATGGAATTGCATCCCAGTCTGTGTGTTCAAGGCTCCTAAATCCCGGTGGAAATGTTTCCACACACTATGTGAAACTACGAGATTCCATCTGGCTGCATGAAAGAAAAAAAAGAAAAGTCGCCTGGCTCATTTCTCTGCACCCACGAGACTCTAAATGTCACCAGCTGTGCGTGTCTGATGGTATGATATGAATATATAAATATTTATGATGGGTTATCATGTAAAGATATCAATCTTTTAGCAACAATCGGAGTGAGAGTCTCACCTGTTCCTGTCCCAGCTGGACCTGGCTCTGCTTTATGATGTTTTCTTTATCCAGGAGCTCCTTCTGCTGCCGCTCGAAGTCGTCTTTGCCCTGAAGAGAAGACAACAAGATATGAAATTGATATTTCACCTGACACACTGATTTAGGATGAAGGTCAAAAAGAGGTTTTCATATCAAGACATTCTGGTCAAACAGAAATTATCATAAAAATGGAAAAAAAAATAAAAAATTCTGTTGCGATTAAGAAGCTGCAACTTTTCACTTTTAAATAAACTTTTCTTTTTTTGAACATTTACCTGCAGGTGGACATAGTCGTAGTCCTCCATCCAGCTCTTCACACACTTCTCACTGTTGTTCATGTTGTCTTTGTCCTGGCCCGAGGACACGGGGAAGGGTTTGGTCTGCCCCCCGTAGTTGTCGTTATCCGAGGAGGGGGAGGTGAGCGGGTGGATCATGTTCTCCTCAGGCGTGCTCCCGATGGAGAAAGACCCGTCCATGTGCGTCCGCCTGAACAGCAGCTCCGCGTTGCCACCTATCGTGGACGCCAGCTGCTTGGCGTCGTCGGGAACCGTCCTAGAGACCATGACGAAGCGATCCAGGTCGTCAGTCTTGTTGTGCTGTCGGCCGGACGACGCCAAGGCGTTCAGAGCCCAGTTGCAGTTCTCCAGGACCTGATAGATCTGCAGGAGGATCTGCTGCGAGTCCTCCAGGCGGCCCAGCTGTCGTCTCAGTTTACTGTGCAGGCTGGAGTCCGACAGAGCGGTGGCATTCGCCGCGGCCCCCCGACCAAACACGACAAAGTCCCCCAGAGTGGCACGCACCCGGTCCAGCACCGTGCGCACGTCGTTAGCGTGGCGCTCCATGAACGGGAAAGTCCTCCAGTGGGGGGAGGCTGACATCGAGTGCAAAGCCCCGACCGAGGCGTCGACGCACTGCTGCAGGCGGTGCAACCTCTGCAGAGCGGCGTCCACGTCCAGAGCGAGGCGTCCCTCAGAGCTGGACCCGGTGGAGGATGAGGACGTGGACATGCTGCTGCGCGTGCTGCCCGTGCTCGAGAAAGACAGACGGTTCACTCCGTCCGTCAAGTCCGCTACAGCGCGAGCGTCCTGAGCGGGGATGTCGTAGACGCCTTTGCTGCCGTCTCTGTCGGCCGGCGACATTCTGTGCTGCATGCCCCGAGGGATGTCGTACACATCCCTGTGAGACCCCGCCCCCGAGTGCAGCGCAGGCGGAGGCACGTCGTAGATGCCTTCGTTGCCGTTGGCGTTCGGTTGTTGGTGGTGGGCAGGAGGCTCCACGCTGGGGGGGAAATCGTAATGGGACTGGGGGCTCTGGGCGGGCTTGGTGAGGGCAGGCGGCGGCACGTCGTAGATGCCTTCCTGCTTGTGTTTGAGAGGCTGCGGGAAGTCGTAGTTCCCCTCCTCGAGGGCCGGGTTGGTCCTGCAGGGAGGCACCGAGTAGACCTGCAGAGGAGGGTAATAAAGATGATCAGATCTCAAGACACAGCTTTGTCAATAATCATCAAATTTGGTTTGGTTTCAGAAGGACTGAATTCACTAAAAGGTCTTTCAACATTTGGTTTGATAAAAAAAAGAGGATTTGAAGATGTCACTTTAAGATCTGCAGATTAGGTTTGTATGTATGGACCAACTAGGAATTATTCCTAAAATGAAATTGCTTATTAATCAATAATGTGAATCATCATTATTGCACCTTTACTTAAAGGCTTTATGTGATTTTTCACAGTGAAATATAATAGAAATCAAGTATATCCTCTGAAAATAACTCTGTGAGTCATGACTGTCTACAATGGGTGTAACACCCGAGTCCCACTGTCTGTGATGTTTTCAGAGTTCTATCTTCAGTTTGTTTACATCGCCCGGACAGACGGCTGACTCCTCCCCTCGCGTATAAAAGTTGCTTAATTGAGGGACTAGAGAAAAGGAGAATAACATACTGTACTCACTGCTTAACTGTGTTTCTAGATCACGCTCATTTCAGGTAAATTTACATGCAGTGTGAAGATACGAGCATAATAAAGATCGCTAGCATTAGCATGCTAACACAACAATGCAGTGCGAGTTGTTTTGGTTTCATGCTGGTGCTCAAGGGCGCATACAAAGCCTTTAAGACCAGCAGATTAGGTTTGTATATATTGACCAAATAGGAATTATTCCTCAAATTAAATTGCTTATTAATCAATAATGTGAATCATCATTATTGCATTCTTACTTAAATCAACTATTTCAAAACAATTCAACATGAAACAGACTTTATCTTCAGTCTAACCTAAACCGCTCAACAAACACACTCGTCTGTCTTCAGGCCGCTCGGTCTGTTTCTGTAGCCACATTAACGTGGCTCAGACTTCAGACAGCATGTTCTTCATTTGAGCTCGTCCTAAACACTAACAGACCATCATTCCTTATAAATCAGGAACACGATGTAAGGAAGTTACCAATTTAATCAGAGAAAACCAGATGATGCAGATGAACAGAGGACACTTGTGTGGTTTCTGTAAATCAAACTTTACATGCAGCACGTCGGTAATCACATTTCTTTTCCAGCATTATTGGGAAACATTTTTTATTCAATGTTTGTCCATACACTGAGTATAAGAGAGGATTTAGCTAACTTGATGTCACCCATTGGATTTAGGACGAGAGTTTTTGATGAAGAATCAAGGCTGGCACTTTGGCCGCCACCATCTTGTTTTTGGAGCCTGGAGTGACATATTTGGGGCGTCTTGTCGATGGCAGATAGCCATGCCCTCAGGCGTACCCTACTATATCATCCATTATAATGTAATTAGGACAAAAAGATTATAAAATGAACAAAGTGCTGTGATGAGGAACTCCAGAAATTAGAGATTGAGACTATAAATTCATTAGATTTTCTTTTTTAATGGGGTAATAAATCAAGTGAGAATCAGGATAGTTTTTCTCCCCCTGCTGGCCATAAAGAAGAATGCAGGTTGTAGTCACTTCTGAATTGGCTTCACTTTTGAAACCAAGATGCTAGGTCCATTTCTTATATGCAGTATGTGAGTTTTCCAAACTTCTGACAGTAAATCTGCCATCTCACACGGTTTGTTGCTCAGAGGAGGGGAGGGGTAATTCTTTCCAATTGGAATCAGAGGCTTTTTGATTGGCACTAGTTGCCCTCAAATTAAAAAAGAATGCACTAAAGGGACAATATAATTCCAAGAGAAACCACCGCTCGTGTTTACATGACAGTTAAGAAATCAGTTCACTGGAAAAAGCTGACTGCACTTCTGGTTTCCAGCGTCTAAACAGAACTGCTGCACTTACACATAGAGGAAGTAAAATACTCCCTGGCTTGTGTCGATACTATATTTTAAACCTCAAACTTTCTGCCTCTGATTCCTTCCTCTAACGCAAAGTCAAGAGCCTGTCGAAAGCTCTGACCTCCCACTAACTCGACTCAGAAAGGAGAGCACGATGGGAGCGCAGCGGGCCGAGTGAAACGCCCGCCTGTGAGTGATTTCCATCAGCCTTGAAATGCACTCTTTACAGCTAGACAGGCTTACCCCAAAACTGTAATTAGGAATGACGCAAATAACAGGTCCAGGCATATTTCAGGTTATTACAAACAAACTGATGGCTCTCGGCCCGGTCGGGTCTGGCAGTCTGGTGAAATCTTAGAGGCTCTGGAAGGAGAAGAGTTATGTCCTCGACACTGAACCGTACTCTGGGAGTTCTGGTTTAAGTCTACTGGCAGGCGAAGCGTTCATTTAGCGCCGCCACAAGAATGTCATAAATATGGCATTCAACGTTTTATTCATTTATTACACACAATTAAGAGAAACACTAGAAACTGTGTCAAAAAACATAAAATAATACTCTCTGCCACCACTTCCTTTTAAGACTGAAGGACATTGAGTGTCGGGCTGATGAACGCTCTCATTTTGGTGGAAAATCAGCAAAGTGTTGAAAATGTTTCTCTCACCCCTTGTGAAGAGGGAGGTATGTCATAAACGCCCTCGTGATGCCCCCCGGTCCTCAGGTCCATTTGAGACGGGGGAACATCGTAGACCCCCTGGTTTCTCGCAGCAGGAAACATCTGACCAGGCGGAATATCGTAAACCTGAAATGAAAAGGTAAGACAATGAGTGAGTGAAAACCTTGGACGGTTTGAGTAATGTCACAAAGTTTTAGGGTTGGGTTTGTTGGCTGCTTTGGATAATCTAATCAAAATAATAACTTTAAGGTAGCTTAGTGACATTTTAAAAAAGAGTGTTGCATCATGGGATTTGTTGTTTTTATGCTTAAAATCTCCATGAGGTGACAGAGGCAGACTCATACTCACAGAAGAGGAAATGTAATCGTCTTATTTATGAGTCGATTCATTTAAAAGGATATTCATGATAGTCCTTCATGTGAAAACCAATTTACAGTAAAGGATGTTCAGAGTTTATCTTGTGGTTTCCATGTTTCCCAGAAGTCACTTGGCCAAATAAAACACACCACTTACTTTCTAAAGGTTTTATACTGGGTTTAAACATCGTGAGAGTCAAACACAACTCAGCAAGAAAAAGTTTAAAACCCTTAAAAAAAAAAAAAAAACATTACAAAACGCTTATCTTTGTTGCATGAGTGAAACGGATGTATTGAAGCGTTTTTTTCAGCTTAAGGCGAGATGACAGGACAGAACTATAATTGTTGAGGATCTCTTCTGAGAAATGAAGGTCACTGCAGCAGAGAACAGGATGTGTGGTGGAGAATAAAAACAGAACAAACTGAAGTTCAAAGAAACAGCTCTTATGTTGACCTTATTTTATGATCTCTCGTTTCCTTCTTGCTTATGCTTCCTATAGATTTTACAATTCATGAGTTGTCATGACATCAATAAAGTTAGTCAACATGTCACCAAATTGTCCCTTGAAATCAATCAGAATGTGCACTGATGATTTATTGATATGATGAGATTCAAACGCAGCTTCATTATTAGATATTTAAAGAGACTAAATAAAAACAGACAACTGTACATGCTGTGGAAACGTGAGACACCTACCCCCTGTGCTCTACTCGGTGGGACGTCATAGAGGTCCTGCTGGTTGTGCTGTCCCGGGCTGTAGGTGTAGGACTGTCCCACTCTGGTCGGGGTCACCACCTGTCGGATCACAGCGGGGGGAAGGAGACAAAGAATCAGAAAAACGACACCTGGGGCAAAGCAGCAAAATACAAAACACACTCTCATGTGGTCACCCACCTGCACATAATGTGTATGCCCCCCCTTCCCCCATTGTTGTAACCCTCTGTTTTTAATCCCAGAGCCTGAGTGACCCGGGGACAATAAGTGATAACAGTTGGGCATGAGATGCTCCGACGACATCCTCCCTGTTTCAGGCTGCTTTATAAATAACCCAGGAAGTGAGGAGATAAACAGAAAGCTGGTGCTGCAGAGCACAGAGTCCGACATGAGACTGTTTCCTGCCACATATGATCCAGAACAGGCAAAAATACCAGAATCCAGAAGTCTTAAAAACTTTAGAAGCGGTCATCGGGTTCCTGGTATTAAAGAACAACTCTGATATAAGATAATATTCTACAATTCACTTAGCAGACGCTTTTATCCAAAGTGACGTACATCAGAGAGTAAGTACAACACAACCAAGGATCTAGAAAAAAGGGAACAATGTCAGTAAGAGCAAACGATCAGCTTTGAGTCTGATTGGACACACAGGTGCTGACAGGAAGTGACCAGAGGCAAAGCACAACATTGAGGGCAGTTCTTGAGAGCTCTAATCAGTATAGAAACCATCTTATAAGTCGTTGTTATCAAACAAAAACCATCGTCATTACCATCATCATCATCAATAATATGGAGACCATCATCATTAAGTTAGTAGGTATTCATGAAAGAGCTGGGTCTTTAGCTTTTTCTTAAAGGTGCAGTGGGACTCCAATGGAGTTTGGAAGTTCATAAATAAAACATATTTGCGTTCACACACACCGATGACGAGTTTTTAAAACCACATTTTCACTCCTCTCTTCCCCCCCCCCATCCGTACTAATCAGTCTTTCCACACCTCCTAATGCTTATGTTTCCGTCCCCCGCCCCCATCCCCCGACGTGGTCCCTAAAAGCCAAGCTGCAGACCTCCTTGCTGCGTCTGACAGACACAGGAATGCCGGGAATGTCTTTCTCTCAGCCCCCTGAACTCCTCCTTTATGCCCCCACGTACACGGCTATCACCACTCTGGAGCGAGCAGGGTTCATTAACAGGCCTCCAAAATAAGAAGCATACGCATGGCTTCCTGGCAGGGGGGGGGGGGGGGGGGGGGGGGAGAAGTCTCTGGGGAAGTGTTAAGACTTTAGTCCCGGCATCCACTCATGAGTATGGCAGAGTTTATATCCTCGTTACATTTCTGGTAGTGTGGAGAGATTTAAACGCGAGCCGGAGCAGTAGGAGCTGTAACTTTCAGCCAAACTGAGAACGAGATTAATGTTTCTGAGGAAGAAGAAGAGATGGAGAAGAGGGGAAAAGGAGGGGGAGCTGGTTTGTAAAAGAGATTTATGAAAAAAGGGTAGGAAAGTGAAATGAACGGAAAAATGAGAGTACGTCTCCTAGTATGGAAAGGAATGCCATTCATGTGAGCTGGAGTCTGACTCACAGGAGTCCATATGGTTCTCATAAGAGGGCGATCAGAACAAGGCCGTGGTGATTTAAGGTGCTCATTGTTGGCATTCCTGTCCCGAGTATACATCATCTCCAACAGGGCCCTGTGGGGTCAGGGGCTGAAACATACACTGTGTGGGCTTTAAACGCATCACACCAGGATCTGAAATAAAACCAGCAGAGGAAGAAATAGCCTCGCTGCTTTTGGGGGGCTTGTCACGCTCCGTCGCTCAGAACACTTCAGCCAGCGTACTCTCAGCAACTGAGCTAGATTGTAATTCTAGTTTTTAAGTTCGTTAGTTGCTTTTGTTTTGTTGCTTTGGATCTACGTTACTAACCTTGACATGTTTATGTTGTTATGTTTTTTTTTTTGCAAAGAAACTACAAAGTGATTCTTGGAGGTCACTCCTCCCTGCGGGTTGGTCCCGCCTGCAGACGATGACTCTGGACTCGGCTGTCACACGCAGATGGCAGCTAGGTGTCTGTCAAAGACCTGGCTGACCTTTTTTTTCCCCCCGCAGGTACGTGTCATCGCTTCGAGCAGCCCTCAGTCCCCATCAGCGGCGGCTGCCAGATGCACACTGCTCATTTATCTCCCTTCTCCACCCTCTGTTTACCCAGCAGGCTGTTGCTGCTCCGAGGCTGCGCGGCGCTGCTGTAATTGCTGGTGGGTAAATATTTACCGCTACCAAATGAGTTTGGCTCTTACGTGGCGGCGACGGCGGCTGGCGGAGGTGGCAGGCCTGTTCAGAGGGCGATGACATCATGAAGAGCAAAGACGGACTTGAGCAAACATTTTGTTCCCCGCTCAGGTGATAGGAGGCTGTAAGGATCCTTCATGGAGGAGGCAGAGATCAGGTTTAATTTAGTGCCCCGAGGAGTCAAATAGATGCCTCGTTAACGCTCCTACGCGTAACGGGGGGGGGGGGGGTGACTCATGGCTCTTTCAGCGACGTTGTGTTTACTCTGCAGGCTCAGGCTTTGGCAGGTAGGACTTTACAGCTTAACTTCACAGTCATCCGAGAGGTGTCGTCATAACGTCAACAACTACCTCATGAGCTTTTTAGAATCAGATTTTACGGACTGATGACGAGTGCTTTGCTTTGAAGACGTTTAAGTGAAGGAGTGAACAATCAGCAGAATTAAACTGTGATTATACCACCCTGTTATTATTCTGCAGAGTCAAACACATCATCATCCCAGATCTAAAATCACTGCACTGCTTTTTCATGACCTAATTTTCATCTTGAAACAGATTTGCTTGACGCTCCTGTGAGGAACAACCTCTGTGGACAAATGGATATGGCTTATCTCTTTGATAAACCTCTCCTGTACATGTGTAGGTAGTGGAAAAAACCTCACCCTGCTTTCTTGGAACAGTCAAATGGATCACCTGATTGAACTAATTTTCACCTTTCATCTTGTCAGTTTGTGAAACTCGAGTGCAGCTAAAGAACTCCTTACTTCTCTTATACTGTTAAATGTTTCACTTCCTTTCCTTCATGTCATTCCCCACTCTCTCTCTCTCTCTCTCTACCTGACTCTATCCACTGTCCTGTCTCTGAAGGCATAAAAACCTAAAAAAAAATGTCTTGAATCCATTAAAACGTCTTAGCTGTTGAAATGTGTCATATACATGAGACAAAAGTTGCCTAAAAAATGCCTAAATAAATGTTTAAAATCTAACTGACTTTCATATCTTGTAATCAAGGGAAGTGTTTACATTTCATATCTTGGCCTTTGGTTTGCTTTTTGAAAATGTAAAATATGTCAAATGTGAAGAAAGACAACACATGACAAACAGAGAAGACAAAACTTGAGTTCAAAGCCTCGGTGACCCACGTAGACACTACATTTTTCCAACATTATCATCCAGCCTTAGCAATGGTTCATTTCTGCCCCTCTGGTCTAGAGTTACAAAGCGTGTGTGTGGTTAAGGATTCGCTGGAAATCATCACTTCTGACCCTTTTATTGGTTACAAACAACATGCACGCACAGCCACTTCCCCTCTGCTAATGGCGTGCTGACACAAATCAACAACCCTAATGCACTCTTCTGTCACTGAGGGATCGGCTTAGAAAAGACGGTAACAATGACACGGCCACTCTTTTGAATTTCATCCATCCATGTCTTCATTCACGCCTCCTCATCTTCTCTCTTGTTCTCTGAATGCTGAAAAACATTGCCTCACCCTTTTTTTTTTTTTAAACCTGTAACTATGTCAGCGCGGTGCAAGGTCGAATGGAAAATCCAATCTGCACCACCAGCTGTTCCACCTAACCGTGCTATCAGTCATATTTCAGGTCAGATTTGTGTTTTGAATGCGACGGCGTTGTAATGTAGGCTGCGCCCTTCTCTTCTTTGCTGAATCACGGTACTAAAACGTCCCTTCGCCGCGTGTTTTGGGTCATTTTCCTTCCCTCCTCAGAACTGCTCGATAATGTTCCCCTCCGCCACTCAGAGCGGCACCAGCCTATTAAAATGCCAAACTAATTAATGCAGGTAATTAACTGGTGAATCCCGCGAGGCTCACGGCCATCTCCATAACACGTCCAAGTGGTGAAACCCAAACAGTGAGCAAGGCCCTAATGAGGAGCGTTTAAAGAGAACACACTCGTTTTAGCACTCATAAGGATCCTCTTTCATCCCCTCTGATCAAAGCAGCTTTTGTAATCCACTGGCGCGCTAATCTGAAGAGACGTAATGCTAAAAGATGTGTCTGACGTTCAGTGTTTACTTTCTAGGAAGAAAAAAAAAACAATATCATGAGACAGTCCTCTGAGAAAAGAAGGGGGATTATGTGAGATGAGAAATGTCTTCAATGACCCGCTAATCCTGAAAGGGAAGTCGACAAAGACTGTCCAATCATGTTAGCAGCTCTGTGAGGATGGCAGTGCTTTGAAGTGAATGCTAAACGCTAAATCCATTCTAACAATGCCAAAAATCTGACATTAAGATGTTACATTTACCTCGGTCGACACCTAAGTGTAGAGCTTTAGCATGCTAACTCTGCTACCTGGCTACAAAACACAATATAGCTGAGGTTTAGTTTAATAACCATGAAAAAAGCTACTGCTAAAATATACAAAGAGTGACATAGTTGGATTATTCTTTATCAGGAACAAGACAAAGGCAGAAGTAACATGCTGCCTTCAATCAACTTTAACAGAATATAGGAATCCTGCATTAAACAGCTTATAGGTCAATTTATGGCCAAACAAGTGTAGGCCACATCCTGGCATTTCTTGTAAACACAAAAGTGCATTGTATGAATTAGGAACGCAACACATTCTCAATGCGCCTCCATACTTGGAGCAGCTGTGGCTCAGTTGGTGGAGTCATCGCCTCTCAACCGGAAGGTCAAGAGTTCAATCCCCAGCTGGGCAACATGTCTGATGTGTCCTAGGGCAAGACACTTAACCCTGAATTGCTCCCTCTGCTTTGTGGCGGTGTATGAATGGGATTAGTTACTTCTGATGATGCTACATTG